TGCAAGTTGAGCGAAACGGCTAGGTGGCTAGTCGAGGACGTGGCATATAAGGGTATGAAGAACTTGGCTGAAAGCCTTGGTTAGGATGGTGCGCGCCGTGTTCATGGATGGAGGCCCCGATATCGTTCACAATATGGTTGGCCCCCGCATCCAACGTGACATGGTCACGCTTCAGGTAGTATTCTTGCGTTTCGACTCTTGCATCGGCTGATGGCCGAAAGGATTACATGCTTGCCTTGTACTGCAGAGGCCATCGGTTTGTATCCCCGCGCACGTGCGAGTGAGATCGTGGTATACCCTGAACATCGGACATTTTCCGTCGGAACCTATATGTCTCGATAACATAACTGTGGCACAGAAGGCTCGATTTCAACAATGTAACGTCCTCCAGAGAGACGACGGCAGGGTGTAGTAATTCGAGTGCGGTGCATTCGGAGTGCCGTGGAAATGGCATGCGGATTGCCACACAGATACGGGAGACCGAAGTGACCGTCGAAACCAAAACCGTATCTTGGCAGTTCATTCTGTACCATCACGTGGCCCATGACATAAAGCTGAACCATCTCAGAATGGAGCCACAGATACCGTAAACAGATCAGAACTTGGTACCAGATGAGGGGAAGTTTCTAGACCAAACAAGTGGGTTGTGATAATGCCCACCTTCCAATCGACGCAAAAGTTGCGAAGTCTCGTAAACCGTAAAGTTTAATATGTGCAACCCAGTTTGGAGAAGCACATATGACATCAGCAATACGCCCTATATATATATATATATATATATATATATATATATATATATATATAAGTTTATTTTTCCAACCGAGAATTCGCGCTTTTCTATTACGATCTGTGGGCTGAGGTGTATGCTTTTCCATTGAGCTTCTATCCAATCTCATAAGTATTACTCGCGAGCTACCACTCCACGATGTTGTACTTCAGACGGAGTGAACGTCAGATGTATATACACACCTTTTGCACTCCTTTGATGGATGCTGAGCCATTATCCACTAACCATCTTCTATTGTTAAATTGCAGTGGTAAGCACTCAAGCTAATTATACGGGAAAAGTTGTGGGCAGTGCTGCGATGAGGCCAGTCGGTTCCTAGAGGCTGCGCGTCGGCTGCCTACTTAACACGTTACCTCCCATTCTCTTATATACAGTGAAACCTCCGAATATGACCATTTGGCCACCTCTCTAAGTTGACTGATTTTTCATTGATTTAATGTTCACCATGTAACTCCTATGGATCGAGATCTCTGTATGTTTGCCAATTTGATCTGGTCCATCGAGTAGTCAACCTACGGGGATTTTACTATTTAGGGCGGTTAAATATAGGTCGATATTTGCTATACCGAAGCGCATATGTGATCCGCCTCACTTTCATAGCTGACCCTAAATTATGTGAAGCAATAGCTGCTTTGTGTCAGCCTTGGCACGCGCATAACACACCTTTTGCAAGAAAAACAACACCACAACGGAGTAATTTGGCTGATGGCGGACATAAAATATACCCTACGATGGTGCCTCATTGAAATGCCTGTTGATCTGGTATCGCCTTTTCCAGTCTAGGTCATGCGCTATGCATCACTCCAAACCGACTCCATGTGCTGTGTTGTTTGCCACTAACTACACCTAGCTGGATATGGCCATGATGGGTTCAATAAACTAATCTAATTGGTTCTTGTCTTCCTTCTGTCGACCGGTCGCTTTCATGGTTGGATGGCTTATTCTATATGGCACCGCTGCAGCGAGAGTAACAGGCTGTGTTCCGCCTTGGTCGTGGCTGCATCAACCAGATTTTCACACTCCGGCAGATACTCGAGCTCCGCAGTGTGTATCAAAAGTCTACGATTGTTGTGTTCCTGCTTATCCGTGCTGCCTTCGATTCTGTCGACAGGGCTGCGTTGTGACACTGTCTGTTGAGGAATGGTATTCCCGGGAAGTTCCTTTCCATTCTGCGTGCTCTGTATAATCTGACCTAGGGTAGAGTTAGGGCTTATGGCAATCTTTCATCTTCCTTTGTTTTTACCAGTGGAGGTCGCGAAGCATGTCCTGTCTTTTCATTCCTCTTCAACTTTGCCATTGAGGATATCCTCAGAAATGCTCTAGAGGAGTTGTTGAACGCTGGCGTTAAGCTCCTCCAAAGTAGTTGGGTGGTTGATTTGGATTACGCTGACGATATCAGCTTGTTGGACTATGGTCCGCAGACTGTCCAACTTGCACGTAACCGCCTGGCGATTGAAGCGTCGAAATATGGCATGCATTTTTCACCATCCAATTGCAAAGCGCTTTTTCAAGACTAGTATACGCCCCTATCTGCATTCACCATCGATGGGGAAGCGTTAGAAGTAGTACAGCGTTTTTTTATACCTGGGAAGATGCATAACTGACGGTGGGGCTGTTTGAAACGAGATTTCGATGTGTATCTCAACAGCTCATCTCGCCTTCGCCAGACTGACGGATTTATGGTGCCACCATGACATCCGTCTCTCCATCAAAGGGCGAGTTTATAGTGCTACTGTCCGCGCTGTACTGTTGTTGGGTTGCAAGGCTTGGTCTGCTCCTACCGATGATCTACATCGGCTGTTTGTCTTTGAGAACCGTTGCTTGCGGTCCATCGCCCATGTGTGGTGGATGAACCACGTAACCAACGCTGAAGTCAGACAGCGTGTCTTGGAGGGAGCCGTCCATTCCCTCGAGTCGCTTGTGTCGCTGCGCCAACTATGATGGCTCGGACACGTGCTGTGTATACCCGTTCAGCGTTTACGCGTCGTGCCTTGTTCGTGGTCGCTGGACAGGATTGGAACAGCCGGTGTGGTGGACAGCCGACAAATTGCAGAAGCAGGGTGAAAAAGCTGACAAAACAGCTGGCCACGGTTGGTTCTTCCCGACTCCCTGGATGGGGTCCCAAGGATGCTGAGTACAGTTGATTGGAAACCTTGGAACTCGTGGCCCGGAACCGAATTCAGTGGCGGGTGTGTATCTCTGCTTGTTACCGTGATTCCCCTTCTCTCCTCCTATAGAAAACTCAAAAACTGTGTGGATAAATGTACAAAAAATTTTTGTTTTCCTCTTTTACTCTAACCCTGTTTTCCTATTTGCCATGATCCCGTTGGCACAATATCTGCACACAGTTTATTATCAATATATATATATATATATATATATATATATATATATATATATATATATATATATATACCTGTGAACTGATTTCGGACTGTTGACACTCCTATCTGACGACACTATTTCTCCCCTATTTACTATGAATCTTACTTTCGATTTATCGTTTTAATAATGTAGGTCAAAGTAGCTGAACTCACCGCTTTTTAAACCATGGTTGACAAAGCTACATGTTGTATTCCATCCTCCTCATCTACTGTCATCAAATTTTTCTTAGTTCTTTGTAGCACTGTTTGTCATCGACTTCCATGCGCAACCAAACCCGATATATCACCGTTGAATAAATAAAAAAAATCATGCATTAACCTTTATACAACCATTCCACCAGCGCCCACTTAACTTCGTGAGACGCACCTCATGCGACATCCGGCCTACACACACTGAGTATATGGTTGTTGCGTTCCACGACTTAACTTATGAGGCTGTAGGTCGGACTGCCGCTTTGAGCACTATCCATGCGCTCTGGCAGATGATGCTTCCGCCCAAAGGAATGTTTGTAAATTGTCTTTGAACTGGCATCCTGACACTTACAAACTATCCGACTGGACAGGGGTACACATGACTCGCTCTTAAAATACGCTGCGATTGCACAAAAATTGGGACGAGCTGCACCCGCACAATAAGTACACCCCATACTTTCATCTTTATCCTGTGAGTAGTATATCGTGAACAGCTGCTACTCAGACTGTAGTCGAATTGATTCTATTCGAACCACTGTCACGACTCAAGTACCTGTGAGGGAACGGAATTGACTCGAAATTCCAATGATAGACCGAAGATTAATGACACTTACAAAAATACTTCTGCTTCGATCCACTTGTTCGACTACAGTACGGCTGACTATTTATGCTGGTGGATATCAAGATTTCCAGACCGATAGCTCCTAGGCAGCTTAGGTTAGTGGAGCGGTGTACGCTACTGGGTACTATCGCGCTGCATATAAGCTACTGTTTTCTTCTCTCAATTGTATTTTGTGATCATTGCCTACTGTTTTGTTCCTAGCAGTTGGAGTCGTGTTCACGGTTTCTTTTATAAAGCCCCTTTCCTCGTCCGCAAGTTCAACTGGCACTCATCTAGTAATCTTTTCACTACCATCCGGAATCAGACTACAATTCCTTGAACGTGCCTCATTGGGCACTCTGCAGCCAGCAATTAATGAGGCTCATTTTAACTGTTAATGGAATTCTGAAAGTGATAACTGTACAGGGCTGCATCTTTAAGAAACAGCTGGATGTAATATAACCAACAGCATTGCCCAACTCCAACACTTATAAAAGTACCTTTTAACTTCAATCCCTTGCCAACTGAGCTCTATGGGTAGTGTTGTTACATTACGACTCTGGTACCGGCGTTTTCCCACATTTCGCTATGCCATGTAAACCCCATCTATGCAATATTTGCCTTGATATCTCGTATTCATTTCTGGCTCATATGAGGCGAAAGATGAATTGCCATCTGGAGTACTCAGGTCCCTTCGTTACTAGCAGATAGATGTACGCGGTAAAATCGAGATTCCAGAGAATCACATTGGAATTTGACACAACCACCGCAACAGTGTGAGGTACGAGACGTAACGGGTGGACAGCACCGGTATCAGTGGAATGTTTCACATTTTCCTGTTATTCTTGGCTCTAGCATCAGGAAAACCAGTTGGATAGATTGAGCAGACTGGTAACGTTCGATACCTGACATATACCAATGATACTCAGAGTCCGGTTTTTGTCTGTTAGAGTACATACTGAAATTTGACCTTTTTCTCTTCGTGTCATTAGATGGTGTTACTTTCTTGCTCTTCTTCTTCTTCTTCCGTGGATAGCGTCTCTTGAAGCTGCTCGAGGTCCAAAAGGAAGTTGACTATGAGGTGTTCATGTATCTGGGCCAATTGACAGAAGGAAGCGAGTCCCTCAACTACTACAGACAAGGCCTGGAAGTTTTACGAAAAATGTCAAGTGATGTAAGTTGCTTGGTGTGAAGCATGTTTTTGTTTCATCCACCCACGTGGGCAATCCAGTTCCACCCCATCGCACTGGATCGCTCCGTATCGGAGGTGAATACTTTCTCTTTCACGCAGTCACGACAGCTATAGGATTCACAACTACAACCGACACAGAAAAGCCGTCAAACATTGACAACCACACGCATATTACACTGTGACACAAAATAAACTTTTTTATGTATAGCAAAAATGTCCTGCCTTAGAGAATACACTTCACTGACCGTAGAAATGCATTGCGATGTTATCCAGCACGTTAGGTTACATTGTTATAAGGAAATGCTTCTTTTCAATAATATCAAAGCTACGTCGTACGAATTATATATAAATATACGGGATCACAGCATATACAGTATACATGTATGTGACAACTACATTTAACTCATCACTGCTACACTCGCCCCTAACTGCTGACTGCAGCTTGGCAATATGAACGGATGACTTCGCCGAGATCCAGTGTCCTCAAGCTGCAGAAACCAGCAAAAGTCACCCATCTTAGAAGACGTGTACTTGCCACTGTAGCGCTACTCAATGACCGAAATGCCTTGATTAAAGCGCTCACCATATTCATCACTACCGGATCCCAAGTTCCCAGGGAAGAACTTAATGTAATTACATAGGAAGTGACTCTGGAGTGAAATTCGAGCACCAACGGCCTGATAGTCCGCAATGAGTTTGTTTATAATGTCTTTGTAGTTCTCTGTCTTTGTTCCACCCAAAAATCCCTTACACCTTGTTTTGAATGTTCTCCTCGCTTCTGACTCAAATGAAGTCAACTGGTATTCGTAAGCACTGTCTGCCATTATCCGACGAAATCAGACCCAGTAAGTATCCCTTCTTTGCGCTTCGCATCACTGCTCTTCGGAAACATTTGTTTCAGGTGCTGGAACGCAAAACTTTCTCGCTTTAAAACTTTGACGGAGTTTAAATCAAGCGAAGCTTGATATTCAGGGGTGGTAGATAGATATGATCAGGTTGCACAAGTGGTGTATTCTATACACTCATTTTCTCTGCAGCATACTCCGTCCTCTCTAGGAACTTTTCGGTTGTGTAGTGTTTTTGAGTTGTTCTGGTGTCTCGTAAGCAAAACATTTACGGCTAAACCATGACTACTCACAATTGGAAAATATCCCTAAATCTATTTGGATGTCAGTTGCAGGTGTCTCATCTTACACACTGCTCGCATGTACCTGCAACCCACCGAATGCGTCTAACGTAAATATCGCCAACATCACTTCTGCATTTGACCTCGCATCACCGTTATCACACAGCCAGAAGATTATTGCCGGCGATTTCAACCTACCGAAAATACGCTGGTCATCCCACCCAACGTCTACCTTGCACGCCTCTTTTCTTTCTTCCATCAGAGCTGGGGGCTGGACACAATGGATTACCAGTCCAACCAAGTCCGCCAAAGTACAGGACTTAATATTCACATTGTAGATACCCAATCCACAGACCGAGATCTTAAACAATCTCCCTGGCAGCGACCATAACATGACCCGACTCAGCTTCCAAACTAAAATGGTCTCTAAAGTCGCCTCTACAGTGCCGGTTGCAACCCATAAGATAAACTGGGAATGTTTTCAGCAGTTCAGTCGTTTCTCCGACTGGGATGTATTCTTCCTCTCTACCAGTTTGTACACCGCTGCGGAGCAGTTCTATGAACAAATCCATCACGCTATAGCTCTCCTTGCTTCACAATGTATTCATACCCCTCATGTCTCCAAAGATTCCGTCGAGCACTTACTCAGCAAGAAAACCAGAAAGTTAGCTGCAAGATACAGAAAGATCCATGACTTTTCACTTGTCTTACAAATGCATGAATTTACTACCAGAGTTAAAAAAGGTGCAATTAACACGACGAAAAAATGAAGAACATACAGCCCTACGGACAAGCTACAAAGCTAAGGAGCTTGTCAGAATACTGCATCGTAGAAGCAGTGACCGCTCTCCTCTGATTACCGACATTGTTGATGGTGAGTGTCACTTACTCCATGACGCAGCTGAAATCTGTGAAGCATTCAGCGACCTTTTTGCCACTACCATGAGTCGCGAAGCTGACCCGGTGCCTGTGTGCACAGAGCTCACAGAAACAAACCTCTTAAGCAGAGTCGATAGCTCGCTTAACTCTATCCATCAAGTTATCAACTTGATCAGGCCATCTTCCAAGCTGCGATCTGATGGCATTTCACCATCCATCATTAAACTAGGAGGACGTGATATACTTTTGCTACTGATGAGCATCTTCACTCTATCGCTGGAATCTAGCCGCTTTCCAGACCAATGGAAAACGTCATTTATTATGCCTCGGCATAAAGAAGGTCCCTAACAAACGATTGATAACTACCGACCAATTCACCACACTCCGATAAGCATGGCTATTTGAAAAGCTGGTCAGTAAGAAGATGATGAACTCTGTTGATTCTATTTGCCTGAGCAATAATTAGCAGCATGGTTTTCTCAATAAGCGATCGTGCACCACCTGTCAACTGCATTACCTTAATCACATTTCAGGATCAATCGATTCCGGCTATGCAGTAGTAATCTTGTTTCTTGACATACACCAAGCGTTCGACCGAGTACCGCACAAGCGACTGTTACAAAAGTTGGAAAACTTTGGGATCCGGAGCCCATTACTAGGTTGTGTCGTCATACCTGAAGGCTCGTCATCAGGTTGTCACTTTAAGTGATTATCGCTCTACCCCAGTCTCAATCACCAGTGGAGTCATTCAAGCGAGCGTGCTCGGTCAATCGCAATGAGGCTGGACCTTACCGTGGTGCGATGGTTTGTGTGCCTCAGGGATCCATTGAGCTACACTGGGTGGTGCTTTTGCACCTTCAGAGCCACTCATACCAGATTGGTCAATGGTTAGAGGCCAGACAAACTCAGTCTCCTGGTCCTCCAGGTTGGGGGTTGGAATGAGGGTGGCTCCTTATTCCTTAAAACGGACTCCTTGTAGCCCAGCGCCAAATCCGCTGCCTTGCGGTCAGGTTTTTGAACCAAACGCTTTGGTTGAGAACCTTAATCGTTCTCTTGTCTAGGCCTGGACAACCTGACAGTATCCTGCCCACGCAATACAATGAATCTTTCCCCAAACGAATTTCTGATGCTCTGGCCACCGCAGAGGATAATCAACGGTGCCCTATCTGTTGCATCGAGCAGGGTGGATAGGGGTTTGGATGCTACTGCTCAAGCCTTCCCATCTTCTTATTCTCCTTCTTGCGCTTTTTCATCGTTATCGTCCCGTTACAGCTTTACTTTTATCCCCCCTGTTTTCAACCCCCCAATTCTCGGCCCTCCCCCACCTTGCTTCAATAGTCGCTTGTCTTTTAGTTTCAACTCACAGGTGAACGCAGAGCGTCATTCCTGCACTGTCAACAGGCCCATGTCCAAGCAAGCGGCCCATTCCAGTTCATCGGCTTTCATTTGGAGCCCTCGATCCTCCTTCAGACTGGCATGCCTTAATGTTCGCACATTGCTTCAGATCGGTCAACAGGCAGCACTTGCCCGAACATTGGAGACCCTCTCGACCGATATTTGCTGCTTATCGGAGACCCGCCTGCATGACTCGAGCTCTGTACTCACTCTGCGATCCCCTTCAGGTGACACTAGCAGCACTTTTTCATTGCGCCTATCCGGTGACGATGCACCTTCGAGCACCGGCCAAGCTGGTGTTGGTATTGCCCTGAGTCCCCGGGCTGAAGCTGCTCTGGTTGATTGGATTCCAATCAGTAGCCGGATGTGTGCGGTCCGATTGGCTGGGTCGTTCAAAACTTCGAAGTCGCGTGGGACTAACAGGTGTCTATTCGTTATCGCTGCCTATGCACCGACAAACTGTAGCAATGATTCGGTAAAAGACGACTTCTATCGTCAACTGACCCAGCTCCTTCGCCACAGAAGAAGCTCGGACACTGTAGTGCTGGCCGGGGGATCTGAACGCTCAAGTTGGAAATTTATCCACAGATGAGCTGCATCTGGGCGGCCAACATGGTATAGGCTTCCGTAATGATAACGGTGAGCGGTTACTTCATTTGTGTGAAGATGCTCGCTTATTTCTTGCGAGCACTAATTTCCGACACAACACCCGCCGGAGGGTGACTTGGCGCCCACTAGCCTCGAACCAGCTATGGGCGCAAATCGATCACATTGCAATCAGTTACCGCTGGAGAGGCTGCATCCAGAACTGTCGCTCGATTTGGAGCACATATATAGACACCGACAATGCCCTTGTAAGTGCTGACCTGCGGATGCGCTTTGGCAGACGCCCGCGACGATGATGTGAGCGCATTGACACCGGCAGACTGGTGAAGCCAGCTGTTCTGAACGCTTATCAAATCACGCTGTCATCCGAGTTGGATAAACGCTCACTGGATGCAATTGAAGCTCACTGGCCTCATATACAACAGGCCTTACTAGCAGCAGGCAAATCCTCATGTGGTATGTCTAATCGCCAACGTGAACATTGGGTCTCTTCACAGCCTCTGGAACTTATAGATGCTCGCCGGCATATTCCGACTGGAAGCGAACACAATGAAACTCGCAAAGAGCTCCGGGCAAAACTCCGTGCTAGCCTGAAGAGAGACCGCGAATCCTGGTGTTCTCGTCGTGCAACAGAGATGGAAATGGCCGCTGCCCTTGGTAACCATCGTGAGTTATTCCGTCTGATACGGGAAACGGGCAGCAGGAGACCTGGTGTTAGTGAAACAATTTGTGACGAGAGTGGACAGCCTATCCACAACTTATCAAAACGCCTGGAACGTTGGGCTGAGCACTTTGAAAGGCAATTTAATCGGTCGGAATTGTTAGATTTCTCGCCGGTCACTGATCGCCCCGCTCCGTGGGCTGTCCCTTTGGATCCACCCTCTCGCTCAGAAGTCGAACATGAGATCAAACTGTTAAAGTTAAATAAAGCCGCAGGACCTGATGACCTTTCTCCAGCCCTCTTCAAATTCGGGGG